CACTTGCCTGCTAACCAGACGGCTGGTGGTTCAAACCCACCAGCCACTCCTCGGAAGGAAGGTTGGGCAATCCTACTTCCGTAGTGATACTGCCTCGGAAACCCAAGGAGGGGTCGCTATGAGTCGGGGCCGACTTGACGGCACATAACAACAACAACAACAAAGAGTGGAATAACTGGGTCAGATGGTAGTTCTGTGTTCAACTTTTTGAGGAACTAGCAAAATATTTTCCACAGAGAGTACCATTTAATATTACTACCAACCATGGATGAGGGTTTCTGGTTTTCCACAACCTTATCAACACCTGTTGTTTTCCTTTTTTCTTATTATTGTCATTCTAATGAGGGTGAGATGGTATCTCCTTACGGTTTTGATTGGCATCTCCCTAAGATTACTATGAATCAGAATTGACTCCATCCTAACAGGTTGGTTTTAGAATGACTAATGATGTGAGCATATTTTCGTATTCAATTCATATTCAAATGTCCTCTTTTGTGAAATGTCTATTCAAGTTCTTTGCCCATTTTCTGATTGGATTGTTTTATTGGCGGGGCATGGGGAGATTGTTTGACTTTTTTTTTTTTGTAAAGTCATAGAAGTATTTTGGATATTAGACCCTTGTTGGATATATGGTTCCCAAACATTTTCTCCCAATCCATAGGTTGTCTTTTTCACTTTTTTGATATAGTTCTTTGAACAAAGTAATTAATATCTATGAGGTCCCATTTATCTATTTTGTCTTTTTGCTTTTGTCATCATATCCAGTAGCCCATCACTAAAAACTAGATCCCATAGCTTTGCCCACCCATACATTGTCTCCTATATTTTCTGTTTCTCATTTAAGTCCTTGATCCATTTTGAATTGGTTTTTGTGTGTGATGTGAGTCTTGGATCCTGATTCATTCTTCTGCATGTGGAAATCCAGTTTTCCCAGTACCATTTGTTGAAGAGACTCTTCCTTCCTCATTGGATAGACTAAGAACCCTTGTTGAAAATCAGTTGACCATAGATATATGGATTTGTATGTGGAAGCTCAGTTCTATTCCATTGGTCTGTATGTCTGTTACTATACCAGTACCAGGCTGTTTTAATTACTATGACTTTATAGTATGCTTTATTCATTCATTGTGACTTAGGTGAAAGCTTATAGAGCAAATTGATTTTCCATTCAATAATCTATACACATTTTGTTTCATAACAGTAGTTGCAGTTTCCTCCTTGTAACACTTTTTCCACTTTATCCCTGCGTTCCCTATCCTTCTTTCTTGACTCTTCCTGCCTTCTGAACTTTGTTTTTTGGTAAAAGCTGCCCTTTTGGTCTCTGGTTGATTATTATAAGGAGTACGTTCCTCACAAGTGTTATTGTTCACTTTCTAGGCCTGTGTATTTGGCTAAAAGGTCATGCTCAGGGGTAGGCTCAGTTCCAGCTTTGAAGAGGTGTCTAAGGGCCATGGTCTTGGGTTCCACTAGTCGCTGTCAGACCAGTAAGTCTGTCTTTTCTGTGATTTTGAATTTTGTTCTATATTTTTCTCCCATTCTGTCCAGGACCTTCTGTAGTCTCAGTCACAGCAGTCAGTGGTAGTAGCTGGGTACCATCTAGTTCTTCTGGTCTCAGCATTGTAGAAGCTGTTGTTTGCATGATCCATTAGTTCTTTGGACTAATTGTTACTTTGCATCTTTGATTTTTTTCCGTCTTCTTTTCTCTGGATGGAGAGGGACCAGTAGTTGCATCTTAGATGGCAGTTCGCTAGCTTTTAAGACCTCGGTTGCTACTCATTGCGGTACGGTGTATGTCGACCATTGTGCTTGTGAACTATATTATGCCGGTTAATTTAGCTGTCCCTTGAGATTGGGGCCCTATATAGAATGTTTCAAACTCAGGAAGTGTGAGTCCTATTTTATTCTTCTTCAAGATTGCTTTAACTATTTGGGGTTTCTTGCCCTCCCATATAAATTTGGGGATTGTATTGAATTTAGAGATTGCTTTAAGTAAAACTGACATCTTAACTATATTAAATTTTCCAATCCATGAACACAGAATGTCCTTCCATTTATTTAGGTCTTCTTTAATTTCTTTTAGTAATGTTATAATTTTCTGTGTACAAGTCTTTCACCTTCCTGGTTAAATTTACTCCTAGGTGTTTTATTGTTTTAGATGTTAATGGTAATGTTTCTTTTAATTTTCTTTTGTGCTTGCTTATTCCTCAACCTGACTCATTTCTGTACCCTGCCACCATGCTGAACTCATTCATTCCTTCTAATAGCTTTCTTATGGATTCTTTGTGATTTTCGATGCATAATATCATATTGTCTGCGAAGAGATAGTTTTATTTCTTCCTTCCCAACCTGGATACTTTTTTTTTAAAGCCAATTGCTCTGAAGGAGCTCTGGTAGCGTAGTGCCTAAAGGCACTTGACTGCTAACCAGAAGGCTAGTGGTTCAAACCCACCAGCCACTCCTCAGAAGGAAGATGGGGCAATCTACTTCCGTAGTGATACTACCTTGGAAACCCAAGGAGGGGTCGCCATGAGTCGCGTCTGACTCGACAGCACATAACAACAACAACAACAACAACAACAATTGCTCTGACTAGTACTTCCAAAATGATGTTGGATAGTGGTGAAAGAGGCCATTCCTGTCTTGTTCCTAATCTTGATAGAAACCTCTTGGTCTTTCACCATTATGATGTTAACTAAGTTTTTCATAAATGCTCTTACAGTAAAGGCATTTTGAGAAATTTCCTTCTATTGCTATCTTGCTGTTAGATCTTGTCTCTATCTATTGAGAAGACCATGTAGTTCTTTTCCTTTGTTCTTTAATATGGTGTATTACGTTGACGGATTTTTTAATGTTGAACCACCCTTTCATTCTTGGTATTAATCCCACTTGGTCATGGTGTATTACTCTTTTAATGTTTTTGTATTCTGTTTGCTAGTATTTTTGCATCTGATGGCTCTGTGGTTAAAGCATCTGGCTGCTAACCAAAAGAGGTTGGCAGTTCAACACACTAGCCACTCCGTGGGAGAGAGATGAGGCAATCTGCTTTTGTAAAGATTCACAGCCTTAGAACCCCATAGGGGCAGTTCTACTCTGTCCTGTGAGGTCTCTATAAGTTGGAATTGACTCAATGGCACAGGAATTATATTCATTAGGGGTATTGGTCTATAGTTTTCTTTCCTTGTCTTTGTTTGGATTTGGTATCAAGATAATGCTCACCTTATAGAATAAGATAGAAAGTATTCCCTCCTCTTCCATGTTTAGATAGTTTAAGATTCTCTTCTTCTCTAAATGTTTGGTAGAATTCTCAATGAAGCCATCCTGCCCAGGACTCTTCTTTGTGGAGGGATTCAGTCTCTTCACTTGTTATGGATCTGTTGATATCGACTGTATGTTCATGAGTCAATGTGAGGAGTTTATGTGTTTCTTAAGTTAGGTACTGAATTCTTTTGCTCAACATTTTTTTCTGTGTATGTGGTACTCATAAAGATTGTTACTTATATCCTTTGTTTTTAATTGCTGTTACTCTATTTTATATGTGAACATATACCACAGATTATCCCTTCTGTTATTTGACATTTGGGTGATTTTTCATAAGTTGTGGCCACTATAAATAAAGCTGCTATAATTATTCTTGTACAATTCTTTTTTTCTAGATATACTTTCATTACTTGTTGATAAATACCTATGAGCGGAATTACTGGATCATAAGTTAGGTGTATGCTTACTTTATGTTTAACTTTAGTAGATACTGCCAAATAGTTTTCCCAAGTTGCTGTGCTCCTAGCAATGTATGAGAGTTCCATTTCTTCCTTATCCTTACCAGTATTTGATATTGTTCAGCCCTTTAATTTTAGCCATTCTAATGGGTCTGTGGTACATAGATTTTAATTTTTGTTTCCCTAATGGTCTCTTTTTTTTTTTTAATTGTGATTTGGGTGAAAGTTTACAGAGCAAATTTTTTTCCGTTCAACAATCTATAGATATATATCTATATAGATAAACAATCTAAATCACGGAGCAGGTGCAGGACCAGGCAGTGTTTCGTTCTTCCGTGCATAGTGTCACTATGAGTGAAAGATGATTCGATGGCACCTAACAACAACTTTATGTACATTCTGTATATAAAAGTTACTGTAATTCCTACACTGTAACAGCATTCTTCTCACTTCCTCCCTGTGCCCACCCCTTCCCTTCTTCGTCCTTCCTTCCCATCCCTTCCCACCTTCTAGCTCTATCCCTGGGTAAATGCTGTCCTCTTGATTTCATATGCGTGATTGTTCTGTTGAGTGTATATCCTCCTCACAGTACTAATCACCTTATAGACCTGCCTATTGTTTGGCTGCCAGTTGCGTCAGGGGATTTCCGTTCTAGCTTGAACAGTATCTAAGGGCCATAACCACAGGGGACCCACCAGTCTCTGTCAGGCCAAACTAGTAATTCTGGTCTTTTATATGATTCTCAGTTTTGTTCCACGTTTTTCTCCCTCTATCCAGGACCTCCTATTATGTGTGATCCCTTTCAGAGCAGTCACCAGATTATCAAATATATTTCAATTTGTCAATCATTTTATTTATGTTTAGTGCTTTCTGTATCCTGTTTAAGATATCCTTACTTCCCCTTGATTGGTCTTCTTGACATGACCTTAGAAGTCTGATAGTTTCCTTGCTTCTATGACAGTGTTCCAGGTTTATCTTACTTATTTCTTGCCCCAGATCTGATCACTTCTTTAAAAAACCTTGATTTCTTTTAGTGGAAAATAGTATCTAGAGACTACATTGTGTTACTTATTGTGCTCATTGGACCCCGAGAGCTTACTGTTCTCAAATGTTATTTGTTTTCAACTTTTTAAGGAAATGCCATATTGTTTTCCACAGTGAACATAACCCTAATTTTAATCTCCCTTTAAAAGAAAAGAAAGGAAAACTTAGTTTAAGAACAATTCCATTAGACACCAAAATAATAATAGACCTAATCAATAATCCATATTTTATTTGCTACAGATTCTGCATCAGTCTTTATCCTTGACATCTTCCCCCAAAGGGACCATTGAGAACATTTTGGACAGTGACCCAAGGGACCTTATAGGCGACTTCTCTAAGGTAATTGCGAGCAGATGCAAGCAGAGCTGCTCTGAGTTAGGCAGAGAGTGGGGATACCTAGAACCCCACTCACCCTGATGCGGCCCTCAGGGTGCCTCCAGAGAGACACAGTTTGAAAATTTTAAATGTACAGAAACTTTGTGGGTTCCCATGGTCATGTTTTTGTTGTCTGTGAAAGTGTAGACCTTGCTGATACTGATCAGGTTTAATAGAAAACTGTTCATCAGCCAGCAAAAGGTGTGGCTCTCTGGGGAGGGTGGTTTTGATAATAAAAATCGTACAGGTAGTCTCCAGGTTACAAATGTCCAAGTTACAGACAACTCCTACTAGCCCTTTAATGCAGGACTTCATACCAGTTCTGTCCTGGCTAAGGAAGCAAAACAGGAACAGACCTGAATTTTTATAATTTGGTTCATCACAGTAACCTAACAGGAGGAATGACAGGTCAAAGCCTTGGGATGGGAGACTCAGAAGAAGACTCACTCGTAGTTATTGAGCCCTTTCAGGATCCTGATGCATGAGATTAAATTATGACAGGACTGTGGAAAGCCATGCACATTCAAAGCAGTGTAATCAATCAGCTGCCATCTTTGAGGGAGACAGTGCTGTTTTGAAGACCTGCTTTAATGTTACATAAATCTGCCCTTACTTTGAAATGACTTAACCAACCAACCCCACTTGAAACAAATTCTTCTTGACAGTCATCTTTACTTGATGCATATGCAGTTTTTAAATCCTTGAAAAGGCCCAGCCTTTTCTCACATTAAAGTAAGGCTAAATAAAAACCGTATGTACCTGTTTTTACTGACCTGCAAATTCTTAAAAGACATAGTTAGGAATGGATCTTGTTCCTAACCTGGGGACTGCCTATATTGCATAAAAGTATAAAGAAGCAGAAATAAACTTGTTGTCTCACTAGAAAGCCTCATGTCAGAGGGTTATCATGGAATGTCCAGGGTTGAAGCTGAATTTCTCCACTGTCTAGAGAAGTGTGGCCTTTAAGGGAAGAGGCCCTTGGAGAGTTTCAGAGGAAGATGGCCTGAAGTGCTATGGGGAAATTTGGTTGCATTTGAGTCATGATGAAATACAGGGTGGGATAGGGAATGTGTCAGTAGCAACTTGTTAAGCCTGAGTTGACTTGATTAATATTTTCTTCATTAATTTAGCTAACAATTATTGAAGTACTTATTGTGTGTTAGGTACTGTGAGAGATTACCAAGAAGGCCTCATTCCTTCCCTCAGAGAACGTAACATGTGTTAAGAGAAGTAAGACATGTCATGTAGCACATGATGGAGTGATTGCATTTACCACACAGTAGATAGAAATAAATGTCACTGAGGTATAACCAACAGGCTAAGAGAAATAAAAAGTTTATCTTAGCTAGAAGATTGGGGAAGGTGTGGGTCTGGGCCATTGGTATTTCAGCTGTGTGGGATTTAAAGGAACAGGGGGAGGTAAGGGGTTGAAAAATAAGACAGTTCTGGTCTGAAGGGACAAGCGTCCAAAGACCTGGGCATTGCCATGGAAGTGTTCCTATTGGTGGAAACTTGACTTGAACTGAGACTGTTGATTGTCACAATGGCCACTGCATGGGTGCAGTCTCAGTTAACCAGTTGCCTTAATGAGTGATTGTTGATATGCCCATCTTCTCCATAAGTCTGGGCCAGGTCTCAATTTTTCCAACCCCTCATGCCTGTTATGCCTAGCATGGTGTTAACATGCTAGGCATAACAGGTGTTCAGTAAATGAGTGAAGTGACTTCCCTCACTGTTTTTTTAAGTGCTGTTTATAGTCTGAGATGAGAAATTCTGACAAAAGCAGGCAGAAAAGAAACTACTTGGATGTTGCTGCATTCAGTCTGGCTTCTTAGCTGGGTAACCTTGGATATACAGTGTTTAACTTACCTGTTTTCTCATCTGCAAATGAAGATAATATTCCTTGTAGGTTTGTGAAAAGTAAGTATCAGGGTATTCATAATTAGCATATACTATCTTATTAATGCTTACTTTTTTTTAAATTGTGATTTGGGTAAAAGTTTACAGAGCAAATTTGTTTTCCATTCAATAGTTCACACATATTAATGCTTGGTTTAAAAAAAAAAAAAGCTGCCTCTTACAAGGCAAACAATATGTGTTGCATTTATAGGCTTCCAGATTTGTGAAGTTTCACTTCTTTTTTCTCCCCCTTCTTTATTTTAGGGTTATCTCTTTCACACAGTTGCTGGGAAGCATCAGGATTTAAAATACATCTCTCCAGAAATTGTAAGTCACCCTTTTGGAGCCCAGGGGGTATTTGAATCTAGTTTCTGTAAAACCAAAGTTGATTCTCCTTGACTTTCTCTTTGCAGATGGCATCTGTTTTGAATGGCAAGTTTGCCAACCTTATTAAAGAGTTTGTTATCATTGACTGCCGATATCCCTATGAGTATGAGGGAGGCCACATAAAGGTAAGAATTCCTGAGGGTTGCTGTCGAACTCTACTTTCTTGTCTTGGAGAGGGACAGAAGGAGCCTTAGACAGGATCTGTGGTTTTAAAAAGGAGGAAAGTGGCACCTGCCCAACTTAATCTCACATGTTGGAGAATAAAAAGGGGCAGTAGACTGTAAAAAGCATTTGACTCGGTACACTGATCGAATGTTCCCTGGTTTACACCACACTTTACCACTATGTATAGCAGATGGTCTCTGTTCTATCCTTCACATCATCACTTTTATGGCATTTCTAGGTGGTACCTGCTGATTTTTTAAGCCAAGGAGAACAGAAAGAGTTCCATAGTAGTTAATTTGCAATTTTGATACAAGTATGTGAACACCCCAGGTCTCTGGCAAGTTTAGTGATCCCTCTTAGTTTGTAGTTCAGCCAAGCTGCTCTAATGGGGAAAGGGACATATTGGGACATACCTTCCCAGGAAGAAAGGAACTGTTTGTGCTATTTTACCAAAAAAATAGTGTTGAAAATATGGTAAGGGGGTTTATATATATAGTGTTTGTTTATGGCTTTTGAAAGGCCCCAAATTCAAAGTCTTATTTCAAGTCCCAGTGTGTGTTTCTGTATAGTTGGAGTAGAGAGAGCTACAAAGCTTACCGAGATGCAGGTGCTAGGTGCGCTACGGGGCTGTGGAGCCAGGAGACCTGTTCCCACATGCCTGTAAAATCACAGACTGCTCTCGTGGACTTAAAGGTTACTCTTGCAGAGTCAGTACTGCAGGTATGAACACACAGACACCAAGTCTCTGGTACCTTCACAGGGTGCCGTGAACTTGCACATGGAAGAAGAGGTTGAAGATTTTTTACTCAAGAAGCCCATCGTACCTGTTGATGGCAAGCGCGTCATTGTTGTGTTCCACTGCGAATTTTCTTCTGAACGAGGTCCCCGCATGTGAGTGCTGCACAGAACTGGGCTCTAGTGCTTCTGTGGGACGTGGCTGTATATGGTTCACAGTTGGAGTGTACTTTAGCATACCAAGCATCCTACTGCAAAACATTAGTCACTTCTCAGCCTTGACCTACACATATGACATACACACACACGTTTGTAAGAGTACCAGCAAATGTATATGTAACAGATGTTTTCTTAAATTCTTGTCCATTTAGCAGTTCATGAATGGCTCCCTTGAGTGTGGTTTATAGGCTTGACCTAACAGTTTCAGGTGGAAGGGTTTTCAGGTTCTTCCAGTCCAGCCCTGTCTGGGATGCTAGTGTTGATTCTGCAGCTTTCCCCATGGATTTCTGCTTTATCACCCCCCACTCCTGAGTCAGTCCTTGCCATTGTTGGGTGTGTCTCACTGTTTGCCCTTCCTTTATCTTGAGACAGGATCAAGCTCAGCCTGTTTAAGAGCCACAGGAAGGAAAAAGCCTGTGTAAATAGAAGGATGTGAGTGAGTGAGACAGTAAAGAGGAGGCTAGGGAGTATGGCTGGGGTTGACAATTCAGGGACAAGTTGGAAGCTAACTGAGAGGTCAGTGTCACTGTGAGGTATAGAGTGGTGATAGGATGTTGGGCAAGGGACAGATGCTAAGACTACTTAACTTGGAGAAAATAAAGTTAGGGAAGAAACCATCTACCTTGAAATATAAAGCGGTGGCACTGGCTGTGAACACTGGTCCTAACAATCTCCCATAGCTAGCAACTGCATTCCAGCATTGTTGATGTCTAAGAATAAATGTAAAGTTGGCAAATTTTTGTTGGGATTACTTAACCCCACAATCACTGCTTTACTGTGTTTTCTTCTTTTATACTTTCCTGTATTGGAAGTGCTAACCTGGCTTTGGCCCGCCTTTCCTGTTACTAGGTGCCGGTACGTGAGAGAGAGAGATCGGCTTGGTAATGAGTACCCAAAACTCCACTACCCCGAGCTATATGTCCTGAAGGGTGGATATAAGGAATTCTTCCTGAAATGCCAGGTGAGATGAGATCTCTGGAGAGCATGGCCCACCTTTCACCTGTGTTGGACAAGTGAATCTGTCTGGTGGTCACAGTTATATGTGGCCAGGGGTCGGGGGATGAGGTGGGTATCTTCCCGGCACAGAGCAGGCCCCTTTAGAAACCGCTATCCAGTTTTGCATTTCTGTTCCTGGCCTTACACACCCCTGGGAGAGGAGGGTGAGAACCAGATCGTGAGTGTGAGGCAGATGTGCCCTAACCTCACCCTCTCTTGTCCCCCAGTCTCACTGTGAGCCCCCCAGCTACCGGCCCATGCACCACGAGGACTTTAAAGAAGACCTGAAGAAGTTCCGAACCAAGAGCCGGACCTGGGCAGGGGAAAAGAGCAAAAGGGAGATGTACAGCCGTCTGAAGAAGCTCTGAGTGGCAGTGCCAGGGCAGCAGCCTGAGCCTGCCTCCCTCCCTTCCACCTTCCCCTCTTTGCTGCAGAGAAACTTGAGGAAAGGGGCCAGCTGTGTGGCATTTGAAGAGAACGTCTGTGGCTTCCACCACACTTAAACTTAAACCTGCCTCCCCACACTCCCAAGGTTGAAGCCTAGAGTATCCCATTGGCATCACCTCTTCTGTCACTTATAAGATGGCTTCCTTCCACATCAGGACTGTCTGCCAAGGGCATCAGATGTCACAGCACAGTTCCGAGCCACTGCATCAAGACATCGTAACTCCTCATCCCACACGGTTGGACAAACAACCTGGTGCCTTGCTGGGCGCTGACCTTCTGGCATGAAGCTTGAAGCTTGAGAGGGATATGGAGGCAGAGAGGAGGAACATGAAGTGAAATGCTGCTGGCCAGAAAACACAGGCAGCCTGGAAAGGAAGGGTCTTTGTGGGATAACCCATATCTTTAATTTATTCAACTTTATCAATCACTTTATTTTTTAACTCCTGGAGACTTAACTCTTTTGTTAGGTCAAACTACTGCCATTCTAGGTAGGTTTTTATTATCCCAGGGACTACCTCTACTTTTAATTTGTAAGGGAAAAAAGAGAGAAGAAAAATCAATCTGTTGTGAGTTGTGGGACAGAGAGCTAGGAGCTCTATCACCCCCAGGAGGCAATGCAGTACTGGGGCAGCTGCTATTTAAAGCCAAGAACTGAGATACTGGTGGAAGCAGGTACTGGACTCGAGCTTGGCTACAGGACATAAGCTAAACCTCCCAGACCTACCTCAAAGACTGTTGAGATCCATTTGGGGGTCAGGGTGGCTCCTTGTGATGTTAGGTAGCATAGGTACCACAGTCGGGAAAGCACTTCAGTCAGCTTCCACCGGGCCACCCCCAGGTCAGTGTTGGAACGAGGTAGTGTAGGTACGTAGCCCAGGGTAGAAGTGGGAATGGGTGGGCTCCATAGGATGGGGGACGGAACTATACATGGAGTGTCTTCCTTCTATTACTGACACTCTTTAATAGCTTTTACATTATTATTTCTAATGGTCATTTAATGAGTCAGGAGATCTCAAGTCAGTGTTAGATGGGCCACCCAAGGGTAAGGAGGGGTTGGAAGCCCTGGGCATTAGAAGGGAACGGATGCTGACATAGAGATGACTTTTGGAGGTAAAACTTTCTAGATTTATCATGTTTTAATTTGAGGGACAAGGAGTGATGGATCATCACCAGTTGCCCACTCATCAAACCCCATGAAAGTGGGGTCTCAACACCTCCTGCCCACGGAGCTAGGGCTGACTTGACTGATTCTAGACAGGCCTGTTTGGTGCCTGCTCATCTCTACCCTCAGGCCCCAGCCGCCTCACCATCTCTGCTCCATTGATGTGTAACTACGTTTTTCTTATACACAAAAGTCAGTCTCAACTCTTGCCCTGGCATCCTGGGAATGGGGAAGGAATCAGTGGTATTGGAGATGACTGGTCGCTGAGTTATGGGTTTGAGTTGCATTTGTCTGTAAAACAATCTTGTTGGAAGAAAGTATGTGGGGAATAAGGGAGAGGAAACCTAGAAGACCTCTTCTATACACACAGTAAGATATTGCAGTGTAGTCCCTAACCTTGGTGTGGGGGTTCTATTGGTTGAATGCCTGAAGAAGGAGGTGGGATGACATTCATATTGTACCAGCTCAGCCAGCATTGCTAACCACCTGTTGCAGGCTCTGAAAATAAACAATCTTGGACCCACACTCTCTGCCTGGTTCTTGATGAATTTAAAGGAAGTTGCGTTTCCCTTTAAGGTCCTGGTACAACATGACTACTGAAACCAGTGTGGGACAGCCCCATATCCTCAAGAGACCAAAGGGTTTCTGCTTAACCTGCCTTCAGGATGCCTGGAATGTTCAGATTGATTCATAACATGAAATAAGGACATTAAAAGCTTGCCTGAAACACTGGCATTTGCTTAGAAGATCTATTAATTCATTTTATGGGAAAAAGCAATGGGCTAAAGGAGGGAATAGAAGGCAGACCTGATTGTGAAGGAGCCAGAGTGGATACTACAGGATGAAGTAGGGCAACTGTGGGTAGATCATGGGCCCTCGTGCACAAAAAGCAGTAATTCCAGTATATCTACCACTTGATAAATTATTTTAAATCTTTCTACAATCTCAAACATTTCACCCATCATCCCACCTCAAGCTTCACTGAGTCGTGTTCTTTCTGATTTGCATCTATATGGAGGCAATATTTGAACATTTTTTTTTAAACATGAAACAAGAAAACATTTCTTGTGATTCTAATTTCCAATATCACATATAAACAATCACTGTTTATATAAAAGTATAAAGTGTTAATTTAGAAATGCTTTTTCTCACTTTTCATGAGTGGAATCATTTTCTTCAACTCCTCAACGTCTGTTTCTGAACAATACTGGTTTCCTTTGAACCCAGTTTTATTTTGATCAAATTATTTGAGAGGACAACACTATTTTAGTTCAGGTATGAAAAATTATCCCAAGCCCATATCCATTTATTTTTTAATTCTTAGATTTTTTTTTTTCTTATTTGTCCAGTATGATTTCTACAAGTCATTTACTTTCTTTTTTTATTATGGAGAACATCAAACATAAAAGAATGAATTCCTTTTGTACCTATCACACAGCTTTAGCAAACCAATCTTGTTTCTCCAACTCAGCTTACTTTGCTTTTTAAACTTATTTATTTTTTTATTTTTTTATTAGGATTTGGGTGAAGATTTACAGAGTAAATTCACTTTTCATACAGCAGTTCACATATACTTTGTCTCATGTCATTGACCAAAATTTACAATGCAGCAGCTCCCCTCCCACTTCCTTCCCATAGTTACCTCCTCCCAGTGTCCATCCCTTCATACTCTTCTGCACCCTGAGCTATCTCCCTGTGCATAAGCAGCCCTTCCTTCTCCCATGATTGTTCTCTCCAGGGCGTGTGTCTACTTGAGGTAAATAACTCACATGCCTGTACTTTGTTTAAACTTATTTTTGAGCAGTAACAGTTCCCTACAAAAGTACTGCAGGGAAAAGTATTGCAAAAGGCAGCTGATCCGCCATCTTTGCCACAATCAACTTGCTAGAATAGCTAATTAGGTCAACCCATTCTTGAGAGTTTAATGGTTCTTTGCTCCCTATAAAGTAGCTCTGGTGACACAGTACTTACAGCATTTGCCTGTAACCAAAAGGTCAACAGTTAGAACCCACCAGCCACTCTATAACAGAATGATGAGACAGTCTGCTTCTGTAAAGATTTATAGGTTGGGAAACTCAGGCAATTCTGTTCTGTCCTATAGGGTCTCTATGAGTTGGAATCTACTTAATGGCAGTGAGTTTGGGTTGTTGGTTCATTGCCTATAAAATGGAATCTGAACTCTTTACCCCATCTGCTAAGATGTAACCCCAACTTATCGTATGTTCATTTTATGCTCCTACAACAGGACAGGATTCTCAGTCTAGAATGCACCTTGTCCTTTGAACCTTGCTACAGCTGGAAGCCTGCCATGCAGTAAGTTTGCATTGCTAGAAAAAGAGTTGACAGCTAGTTAACTCTAGGATTTTTAGGCAGAATGGATACCTCATTTAAAATTTTTGGAAGAACAAGAAGATTTTTTTTTTTTTTAATTGTGATTTGGGTGAAG